GTAGCAGCTTAAAACAACATATTTTATTATTTCAGTTTCCATGAGTCAGGATACCTGTCATGACTTAAGGAAATTCTCTGTGCAGGTCCTCACAGGGCTGTAATTTAAGGTGTCAGCTAGTGCTGAGGACACAGGAAATTCAGAATCCTCCTCTCAGCTCATTTGTTAGGGGGGTGAATTTCTTTCAAGCTACAGATTCATGGTGGATTGCTTCTCCAGGTCTGCAAGTGTGTCTCCAATGTCTTTTGTCTGTAATATCTGGACTTCTTTTAGAGGGCTCACCTAATTAAGTCAGCTCACTGAGGATGAGGATTACCTACCTTTTGGTTAACTTAGTCAACTGATTAGGGATCTCAATTACAATCTCAAAGTCCTTTCACCTGTGTCATAATCTGTTAAAAGTTACAGATCTTGCCCACATTTTAGGGACAGAGATTATATAAGGGGAGGGCTCACTGTGCATCATCTTTAGTCACTTGTACTTTCTTAGTTAAGTAGGAAGATCACAAGTTGTCTAGACAGAGGAGAAAGAAATGGAGGTTTGAGAAAATGGAAAATGAATGAAATATATCTAAGAAGGAGTGTACCCTTTGATGCTTAAACAATCTCTTCAAGATTTGTAGGGCTTCAGCCCTGGCCAGTGTGGCTCAGTTGGTTGGAGTGTCATCCCATAAATGGAAAGATCGTGCGTTCAATTCCTGGTCAAAGCACATGATGCCTAGGTTGTAAGTTTGATCCCGTTGGAGAACATGCAGAAGGCAACTGATTGATGTCTCTCTCTCATATCAGTGTTTCTCCCTCTCCTTCCTTTCCCCTCTCTTTAAAATCAATAAGTATGTCCCCAATAGAAGACAAAAATAAATAAAAATTTTAAAAAATGTAGGGCTCCTCTAGCGTGTGATTTCCTAGGATAATTGCATTTCCAGCCCAATCCTCATACTTTAATCAACTGCTAAATATTCTGAAAGGTGTTTGTGGGAGTTGGTCATAAATAGTAAGGAAGAATTGATTCTACTGCCTTTAAGATTTATTGATCTATGAGAAATTATGAATAATGGAGAAATGAGATTAATATTTAATACATGGTTTTCTAAATCTTAATATTGTTTGAAAAGCATGTCAATATTGAGCTTTTAAAAATTTCTCATGCATGTTCTGTTTTAATAGCAGTATTAAATTTAGAAAAATATTTAATGGGAAGAGCAAAGAGATTATGCAAATAGCTCTGAAGCTATGACTATCTCTAACATTATACTTGTTAAAGTAAATGACTGATTAAAAGTCTGTTTAACTGGGATAATTCTAGAATTTCTGCCACTAATATGTTAAATCAACACCAACAGCTTTACTTTTAGGTAACAATAAAGTTTGTTTTCTCTTTGACTGCTTTACAGAGTTTGCTCAAATTGACTTTTAATGTTTTAGCTAATAAATATAAAAGGAAAATTATATATATATATATATATATATATATATATATATATATATATATATCCTGTATTATTTGGCTACAACCATAAAATCATGGAACACATCTACAATCTTCTTATAAGTAGCCCAGGAAAAATACAATGACATTAAGAAATATTTATGAATAGCAACCTCTGTGTAACACATTCTTTTGTGTATGCAGTATTCATACACAACACTCAACAAGCATTTAATTCACACCTACTCTGTGCTAGGCACTGGGGACATAAAGGTGGAAAGGACAGTCACTAATTGGCTTCCGAGATACAAGAAATTCTATATTTCATTAAATTTAGTGTTGGGTCCATGACAGTCTTTTTAAAAACCTGCAATCTATTTTTTTCCTGTGTATATTTAATGTTCTTTAAAAAGTATAACCAAAGATATGTCCTAACCTCAAGGTGCTTACAGCAGAGAAAAAGACACTCATGCATAAAAGCTTATCTCAACAAAGAGTAGCAAGTGCCAGAAGTGTTCTCAGCATGCCTAATCAGTGTGAGTGTAGGGAAAGGGCTGGCTGTAGGGAAATACTAGATAAGTTGACCCTATAGTAAAACGACAGTTTGTTCAGGTCTAACTCTACTCAGCTGTGGGGCATTGCTAACTTCCTTACGTAGAGTTTCTCTAACTGCAGAAGAAATAAAGGCTATGTCACAATATTGATGAATTTTGCATAAAAACATGATACTTATTAAGGTGTTTGATACACATTACTTATTAGAAATACCATTAGAAATCTTTTCTTCCTTTACTTTTTGGTCCTACTCTCTTCCTTCTTCCAGTAGGAGTAAACAAAGTGAGGAATAATGCAAGATATCACACACACACAATCTTCACATGGATATGAAATAACAAGTTGTGTTTGATGATCCCTCTCAAATACTGTAGAAGAAATTTTAACTAAAAAAAAAACATGAGACTATCACTGTAGGCATAGGACAATAATGGAACATCTTATATACCTTATGAAGAAATTTGTGCTTCATTTTGTAGGTAATTGGGAGAATGAAGTTGGGAGAATGAATGAATGGGAAGAATTGTAGAGGTTGATTTAAAATAGTTAATACCCTAGATATATAAACTAGTTGAGAAAATAGGCCAAAAAAAAATGATGTCTTGGATATAGACAGATAGTGCAGACAGGGTAGATTTAGAAACTATCTAGGGGAAAAAGGAACCAGTACTTGATGTTTGATGGGAATTAGGGCCTGAAAGTGTGATAAGGAAGGAAGAACCCTAGGCTTCCGGTGGTGTGGTTGAAATGATAATGTCATGAATTGAGACAGGGAGGAAGAGGCTAAGGAAGATGAGCTGTCCTACTAGTGGACGTGGAATTGTTGGCCATATTGTAAAGATAGGCTTAAATGAGTAAGAAATTGCCAAATGGTTTTTGAAAGGTGAAATACTTTACACTACTGCCAGAAAAGTATGAGTTTTAGCATTGTTAGTCTTTTTAATTTTAACCATTTGTATGAGTGAATTGTGCTTTGGCATGATACTGGAATCATATACCAGAAAGGTCTTTTTTAGAACCTTAAGAAATTTGTTCTTGATGCATTAGAGGCAAGGTGCTGATAAAGATATCATTCATAATATTGTTGTGTCCTCTTTATGGGAATCCTCAAAAGGAATTCTCCTAATACCAAGCCAACTATATTTTTTCTTGAGAAATTTATTTGTATCTTGTACTATGGACATTACACAATATATAGGTGACTAGATGTCATTTATATATCGTTTACTCATTTATATATTGTGACTCTCAGTAGGGCAGTTTATTTACCCTAATAGGGTAAATAATGTATTTTGTACTCAGTTTGTACTCAGTTTGTATTTAATGCTGCACTCAGTAACTATACTCCTTCTGTCCATGCTCTAGTTTTCACTGAGACTATATTATCACCTTCTATATTCTAACAAAACACTAATATCCTTTTTGAAGCAAAGTAGATAAAAAAGGTAGGCAAGTTGAGCAAGAAAGATAGGAAGGTTCAATGGCAGGCAGGCAGCAAAAGGACTGAAAGTATCAATAGCTTGCAGTAAAGAGAGCTATAATTAAACCCAGTTACAGTTTTTTGTTTGTTTGTTTGTTTTCCTGCCTACTTGCCAGGCTTCAAAAATGGATTCAAATCTTATAAGCAACCGAGTAAGAGCATCCCAGGTCCTTCTCAGTGAATATAAATTAATGCAAATCAGTATTTAAAAACCAAACTGGGAGGAATAGTAGAGAAGACTGCCCAACATATATGAACCCAGCTCACTTATCGGGGTGCTTTAATCTCTGAACTTGCATCAGATAAGACCTAAGGAAAGCCATCACAGAATCAGAATCCTCATCAATCCACTTGCACTGACTTGTCTTCTATTGTAATACACTTGGGATTTATCCGATAATCATCACAATGACTAGTCACACAAGACACTAGTCACACAAGACCCTAGTCACACAAGTATTATAAAATGTTGAGAATATTTTTATTAAAATACTTTTACATTCTTTGTATGAGAGGTCACAGATTAGTGACCCTGACTTAAATCCCATCAGCAAATGTTTTTTAAAACTTCCTATCATTGTCAACATGTTATAATTAGAAAAACTTACGTACATGCACAGGCATAAATACATCCTCACTTTAGCTGCAAAGGGCAACACAGACAGGAGCTGAGAAGCAACTACTCCTTTCAGGTGAGAGTTGTCCACTGTCTCGAGGACTTTATCTAGAGTCTTAAACTTGATGCAGTTATTTACATTACCTGGCAGGTTCCTGTAGGCTTTTGCATTTTGACGCTAGATATGTCTATTTGAGAAATTTATTTTAAAATGTATCAACAAAACAAAGTGTGCCTCATATAGGAAAGAAGGTGCTTCTTTTCTGGCAATAACAATAATATGCAGTCATACCTTGGTACTTGTCAGCTTCAAAAAGCGTCAAACTCTGTACTTGTCACATTTTGACAAGAAAAAAAGTTCCAGGGCTCGGTGCTTTCCTGGGATTCACGGCATTTGCTAGACTTGTGTGAGTCACCATGCCACCCCACCAGAGAAAATGCATCATCGTTCCATACTTGTCGGCTTTGGCACTTGTCACGAGTTCCAGAATGGATTAATAACAAGTACTGAGGTACCACTGTAACATTAACTATTTGGAAGCTCAATACCAAGTGTGTAGTCAATCATATGTACTAGTACTGTATGTGCAAATTTTAATGCTATCATTCATTATTTATGTATTAATTTTGTAATTATTTTTGTGGAAAAGTATTTCAAGTCCTTTTTGGGATTAGTCAGAGTATACATATCCTAATAAGAGTAAACATTACTTGAATCTATTTAAGAATGACTCAAATTACGAAATGAAATGAGGAAGTAACATATATTATCAAAACATTTTATTGGGGGATTAAATGAAGTCTAACTACAAATACACAATCCTCATATGAAGAAAAATAAATAGAACTGGTGCTCAACTCCTGTTCATATCATTGTCATCAAATATTTTTCTTATAAAATGACTAAAAAGTGAAGAGCATAATTTTCAAGAACTCACTTTATTTAAATAAATATAGCAACACAGTAAGTTGTCAAGAAGATAGTAATCAGATTTGCAGTTGACTTTTTACATGGAGTCAGAGATTACACTGTTCCATTTTAACTGTCTGCAACATGGCTAATGTAAGTCTGGGCAATTAAAAAACAATGCACAGAACAACAGTTTTCAATGAGTATTTATTTAGCATGTGAAAACAAGTCAGGGGTGGCAAGCTACTCCTAGGTGGTTGTGTTCAAACATATAAATTCTAAAGTTTACTACATGCTTTGCAATTGAGTATCTTCTATTTTTCTATTTTGCATTTGATATTTTCAAGATCATGGTCAAGACCACATTATATTAGGTACAATTATCAAGTTAACATAATGATATAGTGGTTTGATAATGGCTTTTGTAAAACTGACTCAAAACTACATTTATGCATAGACAATTATAATTAATGTATTTATTTTAAATGTTATGAGTAGCTGAAGTTTATCACTTTGTGGTATTTAAAATGATCTTTGTTCAGATTTCTATCCTAGTCTTTCAAAAAGTTAAAAACAAAAACATAAAAGCATGGTGATATAATCATATACCACAGGTTGAATTATACGTAGAATTATCCTACATGGTACATCATTGCTTTGTGCCATGAAATAGTTACTTCAGTGTAGCAGCTTCTAAAATGCTTTTTATCTTTATGTTTACATTTATTGTTAATTTTGTATATAAATTGAGAAACTTGAAATTCAATATACCTGAGGCTTTTAAATGAAGTCTAGAACATTCAGGAGAAAAAAGTGCCACTATGTTTTGAGTTCAGTAAGTTTTTAGATCTATGACTAATTGCTTATTAAGTCTCAATTATTTTATCTTTTGATGCCATAATTTAAATAGTAATTGTATAATAACAGAAGCTAATCATATTGAAAATTTTTCCTCCCTTCACTGATAGCTGCAATAGAATGGCACAACTTTTTTTATTTGACTAAGAATAAATTAGTCTCAGTAATTAAGCCAAAGTAGTCCCTGAATTTTCAAATTTAATAACCTTACATTAAACATACAAAATAATATTTAGCTTTTATGTGGTTATATAACAAAGTCAGTATAAAATTTAATTTGAAGTACATTTTTAAAAACAGGAATGAGCCAAAAAACTCTTTTGCTTGTGGCTACATCAATTTTTTATTTTGAAATTATAAATATTTATAAAAATAACTGAAATTTGCTAGTTGTAAATAGAGTACATAGTTCTGTACTGTAGGACATGGGAGTGTTGACCTTAACTCAAAATTGAGATGCAGATTTTCAAGCACTGTTTCTGCCAGCACTATGGAGTTTAAGAGCAGTCACAGGACTTAAATTGAGCACCTGAGTACTTTGAAAAAGCACAAGGTTATGAACTTGGGAAGTTTTTCAGGTGGCCAGTTATTTTCACTGTTTTGGAGAAAAGATCAATCTCCTAGAGGATGTCAGAGCTCACACAGGATCATGCCCAAAGGATAAAAGAGCACACCGCCTCTCGAGTTACAAAAAGAAATGCTTGGGTGTGTGTGTGACTCAGATTCACATGTTTCAACAGTATGTGCAATTGAAGATGCCTACTTTGTAAGTGCTGCATGTCTCAAATAGAGAAATTACATAGAGTGTGACTGAATACTACTTTTCACCTGTTGACAAGAAGTGAAATAAAACATTTCAATAAATAGAAAGGAATAGATTTTTGTATCTAAGATACAATATATTTCATGTATGCTTTTATTAGATGAAAGTTCACTACTCCATATAACAAAACAGTAATTTTTTAGTATACATTCTTAAAACAAAAAAAATTAACATATAACTGACATAAATATTACTAACAACCAGTTTTGACAGTCCTAGTCCTTAAGGGGAGCAAAGAAGGAAAGATTTGGTCTCTATAGTCAATACAACTGGACTCATTAAACCATAAAATAATTCATTATGATTCATGAATTGCATATATTATACTGCCTTCCTTTTAACAGTTAATTTATTGAATTACAACCTATAGTTTTAAAATTAGGATATCATTATTTGGTCTTATTTACTTGTGATCAAATTGTTTCTAGTCAAATGGTAAAAGCAACTGTAATAAATACCTGAGGGAGAGTTTGAAAGCATCCCTCCCTAAGAATAGCAAAACTATTTTTTTTTTAATTTTTTTTAAAGATTTTATTTATTTATTTTTAGAGAGGGAAGGGAGGGAGATAGAGGTAGAGAGATAAAGACAGAGAGAGAGAAACATCAATGTGTGGTTGCTGGGGGTTATGGCCTGCAACCCAGGCATGTACCCTGGCTGGGAATCGAACCTGGGACACTTTGGTTCCCAGCCTGCGCTCAATCCACTGAGCTACGCCAGCCAGGGCTAGCAAAACTATTAGAGATAATTCTTCCTAATAACTTTTTTAAAGGATAAAAGGAATATAATATTCATATAATTATAAATTAGTAAGCCATTACGAGATCAGATTCCAAACATCCTTCCCTTGATGACAACTTTCTGCAATGAAGACAAAATCTGTTATACTTTGGAATCTGACTGACTTCCTGGCTGCTGGGGTGCTGTGCTGGGAACCACAGCGGAGGTCAGAGGCAAACCGTGCTGCAGTGGAGTTTCCATTTCTGCAGCAGGGGCAGTACAGGGAGGGTGGTGTGTGTGCTGAGGATTTGCTGACCTTGTTCTTATACACTCTCCCTTAATCTTAGAACTATTTCATAAAACTAATTTCTTATCATACTGGGCTCAAATATACAACATAAGAGTGATAAAAATTCCTCCACAGTAGATATTTCTCTAACTAAACTTTAGTAAAACATGGTATATTATAAAATATTATTAGTATGACATATTTAGAGTTATCCCTCCAGTGCTATATAGTGGCTAGTAGATATTAGAAAAAAAATCCACAGGTTTGAGTGTTCCTATGAAGATGCTTGGTTATATCAATCAGTACAGTGATTTTTTTCCTTGATATTTCCTATAGAAAATAGATCATTACTATTGTACTAATTTCCTGAGGCCTGATCATTCTCTGAGAAATGGCAAATTCTTAAGTTGTAAACATGTTATTTTACTTCAAATCCACAGCTTACAAATAAATTTCATCCTCTGATAGGCTATTTTATAATAAATTCCATGGCCAATTTGTTTCAGAATGTGTTAATACTCTGAAGATTTATATGTATTATGGTTTACTATTACCCTATTGCTTTTCTTTAATAAATAAGAAATAATATTCATATGATAACATATATATTAGATTTTTACTATAGTTCTAGATAAAAATATTCACTGAATAATATAATGTATTCTATGCTCTAGTTTTTAAAGTAAAGAGATTCATTCTTAGCTAGCATACAGGTAATTAACCTGTCACAATACCACAAATAACTACCCACAAATATTTAACCTAATTGGAACCATACAAGTATAATAATTAAAACTGGGTTATATATAATAATTAAAAGTATTGTCTTTTAAATAGAATACTATTTCTATCATTAAGTGTTAATCAAATGCCAAAACTTCAGGAATGAATTTAAGACAAAGGAATTTTCATTTCTATGTCCCTAAAATCCTATAAAAAAGCTAAATAAATGTACTTTTAGTATAAATAGTTTAAAATATTAAATGAAGGCAATCCAAAAATAGTATCAACTTTTTTCTGATCTAAAGGTTGGTCTCTGATTAAACTGAAAGACATGGTTAACAGGACAAGTTAAAGACTGACAATATACTCTAGAAATGGTAACCATTTTGGGCATTATATCTTCACAATAATTTTGAAACAAGTATATGTTTTTTTTAATTTTATAGTGAAACAACTATATGTTTCTTAAATAAGGTACCATCATTAACTTCTATAAAAGAACTTTCTATGGGTCTAAAATCTAGAATTCAGCACTCACTGTACAGCAGACACATTAGAAATCCAACGCATCCAGCATGCTATGGGTAACCAGAAGTCTGCAAATGAGGGCATCTTGGACTGCAGAACGCAGGCCTTCCTAACACAGTATGGTTCACAGTGAGGTTGAAGGTATATGACTTTATTTTTCTTAAGAATTATTATTAAAGAGTTATCCAGAATCCAAACCCTAATACAATAAAGTTGATTGAATCACTGAAAAAACAGAGATGAAACGCGTACATTATCTTTCAGGTCTTTTTTTCTTCGATATATATGGAAAACACACAATTCTGTGTGTTTGGGCCAGAATACAAGTAGGGTTTAACTGTGTGCTAACTATTCTAGGTAACAAGCACTTACCCGTTGTAAATAAAAATTAAATTGCTATGAAAGCAGGATTTCACTGTTGGTCAGAAAATTAGCAGATGATGGCACAAGGAATGTTTCTGCAGTTTCAGGTATTTTCTGTGCAACATTGTGAAGGGTAGCAATGATACCATTATTATCTGTGAAAAAGTACAAGTCATTTTCATAAAAGATAATAGTAACAATGCAAACTGATTTTGACAGTTTTCTTTCCGTAACACAAACCAAAGGCATTTATTGAAATGAGGATATGTCTATAATTACTAAATGTTAATGCATTAAGAAACAGGCGGCTGGTTTTCTAACGCATAAGTTGTTCTTTCCTTACTGTATTTTTCAGACCACTTGCGAGTTAGTTCTAGATAATGACTTGGTTTATGAGGCCAGTAATCCAGGTACACTGTGTTACTGGTTCTTTTGGGAACAGCTTTTTCAATCTGAGTTCCTTCATGCCACTCATTAAAAGAAGTGATGGAAATTACACTGGGGTGGGCTTGGAGTGCAGCACTCAGGGCCGTTTCGTAATACTTCCCATTGACTCGGTTCCGAGTGTTCTGGGTGTTCCATGGACGGATGCTGGTATCTATGTATCCCGGGCCCACACTCGGGATAAACATTAGCTGGAAGTGATCACAAAATAATTTTAACCTACCCCAGTTCTCATATGATGAGCCATAAGTAAAGCCATTTGTAGCAAAATATGTGTAAATTCCATTAAAACCACTTTGAAGGATATCATATTTATGTTTGTCTTCTACTAGAAGTGCAATAAACAATGCATCATAAGGAGAATTGCGAATGCTCCAAGGCCCTGAGATGGTTAACAGATTGGCCCATTGTTCAGGCTTTGTAATATAGGAATCATAGATGTAAAACATAGGAAGAGAGTTGCCGGTCTTAGTCTTGTACCTGTAAAAGGCCGGATGATTGCCATACCTAGAATATAAACATAGGTAAAAGCGAATGAATCCGAACAATTCATTTACCACAGACAATAATTATGTACTGAAAATGAAGGTAATCATCGTTTATACACACTGTTCACCCTCCCTGGGGAGTCAGTTGTATAAGTGTAATTATTAAAAATGCATTTCAATTTTATACATTAGGAAATGAGATACTGGATATATTAAGACATTACCAAACAAGAAATCAATGATTTTCTATTGAGGTACGAATGTTAACACTACGAAAAGCCCATTTTGCACATGACGACATAAACTGCTTTTTTCATATCAGTGACAAAAGGGCCCACTGCTGCTGACAAGTTTCTTTGTTGAGAGTATGGTGGCTCCCACAGACTGTTATCAGTCACACCCTTGAACAAAAGGAAGCTGCATCATTTACTTGTAATCAGACTAAATATAAATAAAATATTGGATGTGGGCCCACGACTATAAAAGCAGTTCACATTTTATTATCTGAGCTTTTGTTTAAAAAGTCAGAACTGTATAATCATAAAATTTAAAAAAATAATACATTTTAAAATGTTGGTATAAAGAAAACATAAATAGCCTAATACACAAAGTAAAATAATAAAGACAATCTTTAGTCATATGGAAAGGAAACTGTAAGGAACTTCAGAAATGTTTCTCAAAATGATTGCAATATTCATTACAAAATTAGTTTATAGACACAGAAAAAACTTACTTGTCTATAATATATTTGACATTTTCATACATGTTTTGATCATCTCGATTGCTATATGGTTCGATGTGAAAAGTGACCTAAAACAAAAACATTGATTAGAGAAAGAATTATCTATGATATAAAAGTATATCCCATATTTTAAATTAATCCCTTGATTTAATAATCTTAATTTAAAATGAATACTTATTGAACATAGAAGTTATCAGAGAATTTTAATAGTAACAACACTAAGAGCTTTCTCTATTAAATAATATGCTAAATGTTTTATACATTTTATGTCCGTTAATTCTGACGATGCTGTAAGGTGGTTACTAGCACTGCCCTCACTTTCTAAGGGAGATAATCTCAGTTGGGACAGGTGCTGCAACTTGTTACACACAGCCAGCAGGAGGCAGTGTAGGTCACCTGAGCTCACGGCTTGAATGTTCAACCACTGTGAGCTACTTCTTGCATTCCCTATCCAGAACAAATATGGATATTTCTATATTCAAACACATCTCTTTTTTTGTCATAAAAATAAAAACATGGTCTAGAAAAATCTGGACTCTTTTTTCAGATGTGATTAAGTGCACATTTACATGGAGTCAATGTCAAATACCTTTTAAATAACAAATTCTTCCATATAACTAAAATAGCATTTTACAATATAACATATACTTAACTTGCACTACTAATATCCACTAGTATTATAAAGGGCAATACTTGTCAGAATGCTTGTTATTATTGACATGGTTTATATTTCTCTATTGTAGTAGTAGAAAGCGGTAACCAAAAATATTTTTTAAATACTGTGCACAGAAGACTCCATTTGTTTACATTGAGGTAAAATACAGTGTTTAATAACACTATCAAAATTTCAGGTGTTCAACATTATAATTCAACATCCATTTTGTGTTCCCCACAAAAAGTCTAGTTTCCAATTTCACCATTCATTTGATTCCCCTTTCGCATTTTGCCCTACCCACTCCCCTTCCCCTCTGGTAACTATCCATCTGTTGTTTGTATCAATGAGTTTTTGTTTTGTTTTTATATTGTTTTATATTCCACATGACTGAAATCATATTCTACATCTTTCACTCTATCTGACTTTTCACTTAGCATCATACTCTGGAGATCCATCCTTGTCACAAACGGCAATAATTCGTCTTTTTACTGCTAAGGAGTATTCCATTGTGTATATGTACATCTTCTTTATCCATTCAACTGCCAATGGACACTCGTTTCCATGTCTTAGGTACTCTAAATAATGCTTCAATGAACATAGGGGTACGTGTATATATTTACAAAGTAGTGTTTTCATATTCTTCAGATGAATACCCAAAAGAGAAATTGTTGGATCATTTGGTAATTCTATTCCCCATTTTTTGAGGAACCTTCACACTGTTTGCCATAGTGACTGACCAACTTATGTTACCACAAGAGTGTACAGGGTTCCCATTTCTCCACATCCTCTCCAATGTTTATTTCTTGTCTTTTTAATAAGCCATTCTACCATGTGTTAGGTGACATCTCAGTGCAGTTCTGATTTGCATTTCTGTAATAATTAGTAAACTTGGACATCTTTTCATGTGCCTGTTGCCTTCTGTATGTCTTCCCTGGAAACATGTCTATTCAGGTACTTTGTCCATTTTTTAATTAGATTTTGTTGGTGGTGATATGAACTTTTTTTAGATATTAACCCCTTATTGGAAATATATGCATATATCTTCTCCCATTCAGTTGGTTGCCTTAATATTTTCTTGATGGTTTCCTTTGCAGCATAAAATCTTTTTAGTTTGAAGTAGTCCTATTTGTTTCAATTTCCTTTGCCTTTGGAGTCAAATTCACAAAAATGTCACTAAAACTAATGCCCACTAACTAAATCAGTAATAAACTGATTTTTCTTCTATGTATCTTACTGTTTCACATCTTACATTCAAGTCTTTAATCCATTGAGGTAAATTTTGTATATGGTGAAAGATAGTGGTCTAGTTTCACTATTTTGCACATGGTTGTCAAGTTTTCCCAGCACCACTTTTAGAAAAGACTTTCTCCATTGCATGCTGTTGGCTCCTTTGTAGCAGATTAGCTGTCCTTATATGTGTGGGTCCATATCTGGGCTCTCAACTCTTTCCCATCGGTCTGTAGGTCCGTTTTTTCTGCCAATACTGTTTAAGTTATTATAGCTTTGTAGCATGGTTTGAAAACTGGACCATGTGACACCTCCGACTTTGTTCTTTTCTCTGAGGACTGTTTTGGCTATTCAGGGTCTTTGTGGTTCCATAAAAGTTTAGGATATTTTGCACTGAATGTGTGGATTGCTTTGGGTAATATGAACATTTTAACAATGTTAATTCTTCCAATCCATGAACAAAGTATCTTTCCATTTTTGTGGGCTTCTCCAATTTCAACAATGGTTTCTAGTTTTCAGTGTGCAGGTCTTTCACATCCTGTGTTTAGTTTATTGCTAGGTATTTTATTTTTTTATTGTAACTTTTATACTCATATTATCTTGAATAATTCTTTTTAGATGCAAATTATTTTTCAAGTTTCTATTTTATATAAAAATGATACCATATCTAAGCAAATGTGTCAAAATGAGTTTGTTTTTAATGTTGCAAACTATAAATGGCATCCTTCTTTTGTAAAATGCAGATCAATATATGTATAGTAATTTAAAAAGCCAAGATTGGTACACATTTAAAATGTTCACTCATATATTTCAAAATTCTTAATTGTAATAAATTTACTTGTAGATTTAAGTAATGATATGATGTAGTAATGATATGATACTATTTCTCTCTTCCATTTGCCCAAATATATTAGACCAATACTAAAATAAGTTTTAACAATGACAGAATACTATGGTTGAGAGTTGAACAACACAAGGGTCAAGGGTGCTGACCCCCTGGTGCTTTCAAAAATCTACGTATCTTTTGACTTCCCCCCAGTTCAGCTGTCCTTTGAGGCCCAATGGGGGATTGGTTCCAGGACACCCCACAGACACCAAAATCTGTAGATGTTCAAGTGCTCTACATAAAATGACAGATCAATGCATACAACTGGCCCTCTGTGTCTGTGAATTCACAGTCACAGATACAAAATGGTACAGGTATTTATTCACAAATATCAGTGTGAAAATGGATCCATGTAGTTGAAATGTTCTTCAAGAGTCAACTGTACATATAAAAATCAGATGTCTGCCTTATCTCTAGGTCAGGGAATAAGATTCATATAAATATTCCCTTATTTCATGCTTCCAGTTTTGGCCTTGCCAGTCTCTATTCTGCAGCAAAAGTGCACTTTCTAATGTGAAAGTGATCCCGAAGAGTGACTTCAACAACATGGAACTATAAAACATTCCTGATACTTATCCCCCTTTTTAATCAAAGGATGGGACATTCACACAAGAATAAAAGCTCTAAACTAGTACCTGACTCCAAGAAAGCAGGGAGGAGTCCTGCCCACCAGTGCAGCCTGTAAGAGACAGACAGACCTCTACATGGGCTGGGAAAACAGAGGAACAGCCAAACTGCCTGCTCACATCTTGTCACCGCTGGGCAAAAACTGGGTGAGTACAGACCTGGACAGGAACTCACGCATTAGAGAGAAAACTTGCAGAAGTCGAGCCTTCCCAAAGTGGGACTCCAGCACATCACTGGAGGGGGGAAAAACGAAAGAAAACCACGAGTTTAGGCCCAGTGGAGGCTGCAGGGAAACTCTCCCAGCACCACACCTCTGCCTGAGAAAACACTGAAACAGGCTGATTTATGTGATAGAGGTGATCTCTCCCATGGGGACAAAGAAAAGCAGTGAATGCTCAGTTATTGCAGCTAGATGGGACCCCACTGGAGAAATCCATTCTCTCTACTAGCACTTGGAATACTATAGTGAAAGTTCTATAACTGGAGGGAGGGGATACTGGGAAAGAGGCAGGTAAGAATTTCAAAGGTGTTAAAAGGATTGTGTTCAGAGGAAGTCCAAACTGGAGCTGCAGGGAATACCAGCCTGGGGGTACCCTACTGCACCTGCAGGCAGCCCCAATGCACTCAGTGCTAAACCCACACCTAAGTCAGCTCCTTGTATGGGCTGCCAAGTGCCACTGTAAGAGCGAACTTCGGTAGATAGAGAGCACACTCAGGAAATACAGAGTTGAGCGACAGTGACACCTTATTGAAAACAAGAGACACACTTCAGATTTAAGGACAGACATAAATTCAGTGTGAAGGGATGGAAAAAATATTTCATAAAACTGAAAACTGCAGTACAATATCAGATTTCAAAATACAAATTAAAAAAGGGTAATACAATGAAATTTCCAAATAGAAACTCTTAACCTTTTAAGAAAAAGTTTTCATGTGCTGTGACAATAATAGCGTATTTTAAAAGTATTTTTGTGTTTCCCCTAGTTACTTTTTCTCAAGTATCAACAGATCTTTATTATTGACTATATTTATGCTGATTACATTTAATTTTTTAAAAACTGATTTCTCAGTGAGCATCAAATATTATTATTTACTTTATAATTTTGTTGGAATAAATATATCTCTCGAATATATACCTACACACACACACACACACACACACACACACACACACACACACATTCTACTGAAAAAAAAAAAAAAAAGATGGCTGAAGACAGAGGAAGATCCTGAACTTGCCTCTTCCAATGGCCATACCAAACCTATAGCTACATATGGAGCAATTTCCTCTAGAGGGAAAAAAAACCATAAAAACTGCCGATGCAATTCTTTCATATCTGGCAAACAAGAGAAACCCACACTGAAGGAGGTAGGAATGGCCGAAACATAATCTCACCTTAAACTCCTCCCACATGGCACACTGTGACCCACAATTGGAAGGAAACTCGAAACCTGGAACTTCTCCCTGAGGAGCAAAGGGTTCATATCCCACATTGGGCATCCTAATTTTTAAAACCAGCATCTGAGAGATGAGCCCCCAAAATATCTGTCTTTAATGACCAAAGGGGCCTGTGCCCAGGAAACCCAAGGAACTGTGGTGAACTGAGAAACAGCTCTTCAAAGGGCTTATGCTCAGACTCACCTCTCTGGTGCCCAATACAGAAGCAGTCCTT